TGGGGTATTTAAATCAACCTGTAACTCATTGCTCTGTTCACATTGCACTGCTGGAGCCTCCATAGATCCTATACAGATCCCAACGTCTTGACAATTGGTATTTGCAGGAATGCTGCCAGTCTGCCACTGGTCTCTAGTGACTGGATAGGCTGCATTCTCAGTGATGTCACCGGTCTCTAGTGACTGGATAGGCTGCATTCTCAGTGATGTCACCGGTCTCTAGTGACTGGATAGGCTGCATTCTCAGTGCTTTCACTGGTCCCTAGTGAAGGGATAGGCTACGTTCTCAGTGATGTCACTGGTCTCTAGTGAATGGATAGGCTACGTTCTCAGTAATGTCACTGGTCTCGAGTGACTGAATAGGCTGCATTCTCAGTGATGTCACTGGTCTCGAGTGACTGGATAGGCTGCATTGTCAGTGATGTCACCGGTCTCTAGTGAATGGATAGGTTGCATTCTCCGTGATGTCACCGATCTCTAGTGAATGTTTTTGTATTCTCGGTAGCTGCTTTCACATCTGTAAATGTGCGAGAGATGAACAGCTGCTCCTATGGACACAATCTGCTGCCTGCCGGCCGGTTTTCTTGTTCGGGAGCGACTCTGAATACAACCTTGGGCTTTGCCTTAGATAAAACCTTACTCTTTTATCTTCGCTGCGGAGTCCACACTTTGCAGGTTACGCAGTCAGTTGGGTCACGTTTGCTTATGCTAACTTGTAATGATTGTCACATTTATCCCAAATTCTGATTGTCTCTTGAAAGGAAGCGCAGAGCATTGAGTGCTCTATCTGCTCTATGAAATGGAGTTGATCCCCAGGGTAAGATTTCAATCCGTGGAGTCTGCTACAAACACATTGTTTGCAGATGGTATCCAGGTTTTGTATGCTGAAGTGAGCCATTGTGTGCATATGATCAGTCAACGAACTGTAAGGGTATTCAAGGTACATTCTCACTGCAAAACACTGGTGAAATAATAGAGGCAAGATGTGCTTGGAGCACCCATCAGGCAGTATCTCCTCCTTCTAAAGATGACCACACATTTTGTACAATCTCTTCTTGATTTGCCAACAACTATGTAGTGCAGGGACCATTGCATACTGATTGAAGGGATTCTTTAAGTAGGTTTGCGCACTACATGGTTTTTGAAACTCGCAAGACCAGCTTTTCTCAACTAGGGTTCCTCCAGAGGTTTCTAGAGGTTCCTTGTGTAGTTTG